AGAGAGAGAGAGAGAGAGAGAGAGAGAGAGAGAGAGAGAGAGAGAGAAGGAAAAAGCGCGCGGAAAGCGGGAGTTAATAAAGCGAGGGAACGCTAATTAGGCGGCCATTAAAGCGATAAAACGGTGACACGCGGTTGACGCTCGTACGACATGTCGTTTTAGTTGCGTCTCCTCGGGATAACCCCGCGCGATAAACCGTGCCCCGGTATTTTTGTCCTTCCAGTGTCGTTCGCGTTGCGCGTCGCGAACAACGACGGTAGTGTCAACGCACATGTCCGGCTAAGTCATTCCTGCGTGCAGAGGGGTGTCGCAGAATCGCGGAATAAATTCTCCCTCCGACGGCACTTAGCGACTGCTCCTCATCTCGTTGATTCCGACTGAGCTGTGGGAAAATTGAACCCTGAAAGATCAAGCGTCATTCGAGGAGAAACTTCAGACTGAAATCTGAAACCGCCAGAAAGTTACGATCAGAGCGTAGAAGCTTCTAATCCCGCTCGTTCTCTAATGTAGAATCACCGTAGGCATCGTGATGCGGCGGTCATCAACGTCTCAAAGTGCATCGAAGCCGCTGTATCGCACGCAGTTTGAATGACACTGCTGGGACCCCCTGTATCGGACTCGCGGGTATTTGCTTTCTCGCGGAACCACGACCCTGCGAGAGCTTCGGCCTTGACTGGCGACCCGCGGTCGCTGTGACAGTGCTCAGGGGATATCTCGTGCTCGATAATTTCTTTGTTGGGAATAATGCGGCGTTCTGTCGGACGTTTGACGTAATCGGTGCGTGCCCCCCTACTCGTTCGTGAGAATGTGTAACCCGCGAGTGTGTCACGATTCGCTCGACAAACAGGGAACAATGATACTCGTATCGCGAGCTCTCGAGCCGCTCTCTTCCTACGTTAAAAATTCCCGTAACTCGATCGCCTCTTCTCCTTTCTCCCGCTCTCTTGCGGTACCGTCCTTGTGAAAGCTCACACGCGCGTTTCCAGCCCGAAGGGACCAAAGGCAAGCGGCGGTGGACACCGAATGACTGGCTCGATTATTGAAATCTCATCGAGATCGCTCGTACGCATCTGGTCTCGACACCGAAGGCGCCGCAATTGTTTCGAGCCGAGAGAGCGTGGAGCCGGTCGGTCACTCATCAATATGGAGTAGCCCGGTGTCCAATCCGGTGTCAGCCCTCGGGCAGCCCTTTTGAAGGTTACGAGGCGGGCAGCGGACTGTCATTCCTTTGATTGGCTTTTAGAGAGGGCCACCTCCCTTCCCGGACCTTTGTTTCTTCTCTCATCTCCGTCGTCCGTTCTCTCTCGGTCTTCTCTCGCCTTTTCTATCTCACTCTTCTTCCTTCTTCTCCAGCCCCCTCTCCCTCCTCTTCTTTCCACCTGCGTTTCACCGCGCTCTCCTCTCTTTCTTTTACTTTTAATCTGCCAGCGCCTTCAGCCAGACGAGGGACAGCGCCTTTTTGCTCCTCTTCTTGATCGCCCTTGCGCGTCCCTTCGTTTGCCAAAAGCTCCACCACCGCGACCTCGATCGGCCCTCGCCGACGACGCTACCGGAGAAGCGAGTCGATGTGCAAAATCATTCGCGTGAAACTGACTCACGATTCGGTACAAGTTCGATATCCGATTCACCGCGCATTATCGCAAATCGTTGCGTTACAAAAATTCAACGTCAAATCTCAACGAAGAGCCAAGGACGAGCCGCGGGAAGTAGGAAACGAATAGTTTCACCGAGAAGAAAAAATGCGAGGAGAGATGAAGGGGCAGAGAGGAGAGAAAAAGAACGGATACGCCGACGTCGAGGCGCAAGAAGTTCGCCGATACTTCTCCTCCGCGCCGCGCACACCGGTTAATTATCGATCGCAGGGGAAGTTTCCTTCCGCGCGCGCGTCCAATTATAAATTACAATTAGGAACGTAGAAAATGAGGATGCGGCCGCGCTCACTCGCTCGTTCGTTCGCTTGCTCGCTCGCGAGATTGCCGGCGGGTGTATTTCGGGCGTGGAAAAAGTTGTTCGCCGCTCGTCCGCGCGCGCACAGTTCCGGGGGGTGTATAAATAATTCCCGGATTCCGTACTCGGGCCGCGATCCATGCCACCGCCACCACCACCACCTACACCATCACACACCTGACGGACTCTCCATTGTGTTCGCCGCTCGATCGCGCGCGCGTTCGGTACCGCCGCCGCCGCCTCCGTCGTTCCAGAGGGAAACACACACGTTTCTTTTATTCGACTGGCGCGCGCCGCTTTCCGTGTAATCGCGTAGCGGGGGCGCGTGCTTAGGAAACGATAAGGATCTCCGCGACCATCTCGCTCTCTGGCACGGGCCACCTTCCCACACCCGGGGCCCCGGCAATCTACCTGACCTATCTACCTGGTAACTATGGTAACCTTGATAACCCTTGCGAGCCCAATATCGAAGTGCTGAGGAACGCCCCGTGCTCAAACGCTCTCGGGAGTTTCTCTTCCTTTCTCTCCCTTCGAAATATAGAACATTTTTGTTTATACTTGGATCTATTTACAGTTATGCTTATAGTTATGCTTATAGGTTAAACCACACAATTACTAGCACCTGCCTTAGTTATTGGCGCTCTAGAAAAACTTGCGGACTCGATGACTACGCGGAAAAGAATCGAAATGTCACTTGGACGGGTGATCGAGGCGCGACCCGTGTAACGTCGAGGACGTCACGTTCTCGTTATTGGCGCTCTAGACAAACTTGATACCGCTGGTCGTGAAAAAACCAAGTTTTTCCAAAGTGCAAGTGACTAAGAAGGATGCCAATAATTGCACGATTTACTCTCTGTATCGATAGATTTCATCCTGACAATTATTAGTGTAGATATCAGGGATCACGGTAACATCTTATACATCTTTCAGATGTACTTCCTCTAATAAATCTCATTAAAAGGGCACTTAATAAAAGATTGGTGACTTGATATTTTTAATAATTAGCTCCCGGAGTTCGACAGAACGTAGCGTCCGTTCTTTCGACAACATCGATGAGATTTGGTTCGTTGCGGAAGACCGAAAGGGAACGACGGTGTAAGAGAACACCGTGTGCTCGCATTAAGGTATTTGTCCATTAGGGCAACTTTGTTGCCGCGTATTTGCTTGTTTGCATTAGGGCAAGTTTAGTCAAGTGGAGTTATGGGCTTTGCATAGTTCGACGTTGGTGGTCGGTAAACCTCTCCCAGCCGAGCGACACACTCAAGTTCGGGATAACGCGTGGTGATCTGTATTCTTATCATGGGGTTTTCTTTTTTTGTTCGTCGCCATTATTTCGTACCTTCTCTTTTCTGTTCGTCGTTCCGGGGAGGTGTCGAAAATTTAAGAGAGTATTTCGAAAAAACGTGTCTTCGCGACTCACACGGGGCTAACGCACAGGTGTACATACCGAGCGTGTAATTACGTCGTTCCGCGCCTCTTTCACGTCGGACGTTTCGCGAAGGCGCCCGATGCCGCGGATAAACAAGCTCAATTAGTCGAGAACATCGTAAATGCACATTGAATGACGTTCGCCCTTTTTTGCGCGATAATTAGCTCCTCGAAGAAATTGCGAGATAAAAGCAGCGAGCGCGCTCCTCCGAGATACAGAGAAAGAGCGAGAGAGACAGTGAGATGCACGTACACGCTCGCGAAGTATCTTTTTTATACGCGCTCATGCGGTCCGCACTCGAGAGCTTTCTGCGCGCGGCCATTCACCGGGTAATTAACGCGACGTCCTCGACGTTACACGGGTCGCGCCTCGATCACCCATCCAGGTGACATCTCGATTCTTTTCCGCGTAGTCATCGTGTTCGCATGAGCAATCCGAAAAGACGTCACGTCAGAAAGTTACGTGGAGAGAAAGAGAGAAAGAAAGAGAAGAAGAGAGGAATGTCTCTTCACGACGAAACACTTTTCCCGCGACATCTCTAACGCGCGTCTCGTCGTGTCACGTCATGTCACCTCGTGATAAAACATGACGAGGATCACGACGGAGAAAGGAGGCGGAAAAACCACATGTGGCCTCCGACCTCGTATTGATGTTAGATGTTTTATATTTTCGACGTCGTTCTCGAATATAGTATCGATGAAGAACGTAACTGATACACTTTATCTGGTGATTACATATGGGCCCTTGATATGATATACCAGCGTCGCCGTCGTCGTCGACGCCTTCACGTTGGAGCCTTCACGGGGCGAGTCGAAATCTCCGACGATGATGAACCATAACGATCTCTCTTCCTAACCGCAGGTCCCTCCGACCCAATCTCACCGCGATACACAATGAGAACGCGCTGGTCCATGATAAATTGTCTCTCGGCCGCGGAACGCGCGCGCATACACGCACACACACACACACACACACACACACATCTTCCCAAGGTGGGAAACTGACTTTTTCACGGAGGAACGCCCCCGCGCGACAGCGCCTCTCGCTTTTCCACATGCGTGACCTCCTTCCCCTCCCGCGTTCGCGACCCCTTTTTCCTTTCTCATTTCTCCTCGCGCTATACGATATTCATCTTTTCATTCCCACCCGGTGACGCAATGTCGTCCCACACGGCGAAACGTCTTACCGCGGTGAGACGTTTCTATCGGCTCGAGGGGTGCGACGGGCTCACGTCGACGGCAGGACTAATGACGCCGCGAGAACGATCCAGCCCCCATGTGGGCCCCTGGCCTCATGCACCGTCGGCCCCTACAAAAAAGGATCGCGGTTGACTCCCCGACCCGGCGGTGAAGGTCCGTGCGCCCGTCGCCCCCTGGTGACATTTCCCATTCTTCTCGGCACGCTATTACCGGGTCAAAGCCGCCGCCCCCGCGGGACGCCGCGCGCGGACGATGCGGTGCTCAAAGGGCCACTTTTCAGGCCGCTTTTCTGACGGGGTATCATACGTCTCGGCGTCGGTTTATCGACACTCGTCGATATTTCGTGGCCGGCCGATTCGCCGAGGCCGGCTGACAGCTGGGAATTACGCGAAAGACGTACACCGGACGTTCATGTAGAGTAAACTCGGGCACGGTGACCATACGGAAGACAGCCATAAGCTTTACTTGTACTTTCTCTCTAATAACTGCCAAATAGTACGTTTTAGCACCTAAGTGTATATGCATAAACTACTATAAATACCGATTATCTCTGAGAATGACTACAAAAGCGCACTACTTTAGCAATTATTGGAGAAATTATAGTTTACGGCCATCATACTCGACTCTACCCTAAGCCTTAACATTGTAACCAGTGTTAGTTTTGCGATATTCAACTTCATATAATTAAAAACCAATTCAATATCAACGTATTCGGTACAACGAGGTTGAAAGCCGTAGAAATCTCAGAAAGTACATAAAAATAGTAGATATAAATAGAGTTTATTTACGTAAAACAGTGTATATATATATATATATATATATATATATATATATATATATATGTATATACGTTCTTATATATTAATTAATATGTGCGGGTCTGAGAGTCAATTCTGTATCTCGAAACGAAGTGAAAATTAAAAAAGTGAGCACATTCACTAGGCACTGACCAATGAAATTACGAATATTCTAGTATATTTGCTCACTTTTGTAATTTTCACTTCGTTTCGAGATACAGAATCGACTCCCTGATAATTCACAGAACACTGTCTCGCAGTATTGCGCAGTGCCCGTTCTAATGAACAAAAGTTGGTATTTAAAATTTATTCAAGATATTGATCTAAAATTTTACATACATAAATTATATACGTAAAATAATGTTTTCCTTATAGTCACTGGCCAAATTTGGAACAATTAAGAAGGAGATTAGGCGCTCTCTTTTGCGAATTTACAATTCAATATCACGTACCGCGTTTGAGTCTCTTTTCTTTCGTTTCCTAGTTACTTTTTGCTTCGTCCCTATTCAGCGCGTGATATCGCGACGTGTCGAGCAAGCAGCCGGCGAATCGTTTATACAGGCAGCGACGATCGTCACCGTCAAAAGCGTATCGCGTTCTCGGAGGGTGAAAGGGGTGGTTCCTCGTTCGCCGACGTAATAGTACACACGGCACACAGCCGCCGGCTCGAAAAGCGAAAACCGCGAGTGAAATGCCGGCCAGAGGGAGAGAGAGAAAGAGAAAGAGAGAGAGGGGAGAGCGGTAATGCATGCGATTATGCGGATCAATGAGCTATGGCGCTATTTATGGCTCTATCAGGTTCGCTCTACCCGCCGCTTCCGACTCCACCCGTACTTTTTATCCCGATCATCTTTACACGATCGAGAATTCGACCTACATTAAGTCATCGTGTTAAATCCGGCTGCGAACGGTTCGCCGCCAATTTCTCAATCCAACCGAATCGCGGAACGCGAAAGCGCGGATCCGAGTCGAAATTTAGAATCTGCTGTGAGTCTCGAAAGTACGAATGCCGTCTCTTAATGTTCCTCGTGTTATCTGACATATTAACGAAACGCTAGATAAACATAAATTTTTGTTCGCTTTTATCCCTTTGATTTCTTTAAATACTTTTTATTTTGGGGAATTCTTCTTAAGTGTTTATAATATTAATATTTTGCTTAAAATGTAATGTCTCAGTGATATCAGCCAAATCTCAGTGGTTGATTCCAACTTAGTTAGGAGACTAATTGTTTTGCTGTGATTATTTAAATTTGGCTGTCACAGATAAAATGTATTTGCCGTAAATTGATTTTACAAGGCTTGTCTCACTGCATCATATATATTAATTGACCAATTTTCTTTCATTAATATCTCATTAATAATTACCGTGGCAGAGTCTATATAAAATGGTACAGGATATCTCTCTATTCAATTTAACAAGCCCGCATATGAACACTTCATCAAATCCAAATATCCTGCATAATTAATCGACATGTAAAACAATAAGTTTTATCTTTTTATAATTTCTTTATTATATATATTTTTTATTGTTGCAAATGTATACATAGAATGTCTGACACAAGACCAACGCTTGTGCGCGCGAGTAGAGTTCATAAAGTTGTCTTAAATCCGGCTGCAAACGGTTTGCCGTCGATTTTTCAATCTAACCGAATCGCAGAAACGCGAAAGCGTGGATCCGAGTCAAAATTTAGAATCTGCTGTGAATCTCGAAAGTACTAATGCCGTATTTTAATGCTTCTCGTGCTACCTAACATATTGACGTAACGACGCTACATAAACAGACATTTTTGTTTCGTTTTATTCGCTTTTATTCCTTTGATTTCTTTAAATACTTTTTACTTTAGGGCATTTTCCTTAAGTGCTTATAATTCATAAATTGGACAAAACAGTCCTCGACCATTTTGCAAATAACCACGATAATTATTTTTTTACTTTGATCCACAATAACTATCAAGGTCTCAATAACTATCATCAGATGAAAGAAGAAATGATTCGGACGAATGAAAAAGGTTGCTTGTATCATCGTATTTTCTGTAGTTTTTTTATCGATTACGACTTTTTTAAGTGGACAATAAGGCAGCAGCATAGTCGCGTGTGGGATCATGTGCCAAAGAGATTTTATGTCGCTACGTTGACTTATTCACGTGTTATAGCTGTTTGAAGCCGCGGCATCGACATTACCGGTTTGAGTTCGAAATTCGCGCTCGAGCGACGCTGGTATCTGCTCCCGCGCCTGCGCAGTATGCTTCTAAAGAAAAGTGAACGACCGTGAGCCGCGGTGTATAAGGAGGCGGGAGTGACTACGCTTATCTGAGCCGCGGAGTGGGGGTAGCGAGGCGCGCTCGCTGCCGGGCGCCGCTGTTTACAGCGCAAAGTGACTTGTCACCGCATTCCATTCACGCGTCGCGCGTCTAATTACGCGGCTCGCAGCAGTGATAACGCCGAGCGTTTTAAAACTAGGATCGGTATAAATGTTAATATCCGCACTCGTAGACGTCGTAGCGAGTTGAAACGAAGTTCATTGGAAAGAGAAAATTATCGCGCTTGCGAGGAACATAAAATCGTCCTGCTATGGAATGAGAATCTAACAGCGTTATCACATAAGTACGAAAGATTGATTCTCTCGAGTGATTAAGCTATTTCGTCGGTTCTTCTAAGATATTTAATTAATTTTTTGTCGCGCTATTTAACACGTACATTTTCGATTGAATCGTATTTACGCGAGTGTCAGTGTCAGTGCCACGACGAAGCAGCCAGGATGTTGGATCGAGAATCGAAAACGGTGGGCGCAGGATGGAGGGGACAAGAGGTGAGCGATACGTCATGTAGTTTCAAGGTATGGAAAATTATTTAATATGCAGGAAGTTTTTACTTTTAATGGACGTTTGAAGAACTTACCAAGAATAAAGAAATATCTGAGTCGAAATTTAGGCCGACATTCATAGTTTGTCATAATTTGACATATAATTATAGCTTTATTGATTTCCGATTAATCGCGCGTCAGCCTGTATCTATATTTTTATTACGTTATTTCATACAAGAAACATTGATTCAAACAGCCGAGTAACAGTCCATGAATACGAACTTGTAATTAATTATGCTCTCAATAAAAGATGGTAAATAATTTGTAACTATGAATACCGGCCTTAGAATACAATCTCGCAAGTACTAATTTTCACGTCTAATAATGCTTCTTTGGTCGTGAGTCTGATTTTGTTGACAACCAATGCTTTTTTTGCTTCTATTTAGTCTATATAGTCTTTGTTGTTATACCGAATTTAGAGTTAAATCGCTATTGATAAACAGCATTATTGGACAAATAACTGTTATTTTTACCTTTCCAGCTTCATATCAGTTCTTTTAAGAGCTATAAATCTCATCAAAACTTCCATCGAAAAAAAAGAAAAAGAAAAATCAGGAAGAGATGAGATTAACGTCTTATTCTTTTATTTATTTACCCGTACACATTAATATTCATTAAATAATTTATAACACCTATTTATCTATATAAATTCCGTTCGAATATAGCTATATTTGGTAATGGCCAATTGCCAATGGCTAGTCAATTATGATATGATTTCTGTAACGAGGGCTATCGAGCAATTATAGATTCGATGAATTTTTATCTCCTTTGGGTTGTACATAAGCGCTATGTATATTTTGAAGATTCTGGCCGAATTATTGCAGATGAACGATTGTTAGTTTTGCATCCAGGTGTTAAATTTTTTTCGACATTTTCTCCGTGGAGCAAAGGGACGGTTTTGACCGCGTTGTGCGCGTGTCTCTAGACTCTTTGCCATTTTATTCGAAAATATCGAAGTGACTATCAAATTAAGAATGTTCTCGAATGCATAAAATTTTATTAAAAAATATATTGAGATATATTAGGATAATAAAATATATTAAGATATATTGAGATATATTGAGATATATTAGGGCCTTGAATAAGTTCTCGCTGTTTTCCAACAGATGGCATTATCAGAACAGTGTACGTGTAGTTTAAGATGGTAACGCATCTATAAGGAAGTACTATAAGCAAGCTTGAAATTCAGTGTATGTCATTTCACCGAAGTATAAACAACTTTTTTTTTCATAGTGTTAAACATGTCGAGTTTCGCGCCAAAAAAGAGTATTTGTGAGGAATTTTACTGCACTACTTTATTCAAACAAAAGCCTGCAGCTGAAGCATACAGAATTCTTGTTAAGACTTACGGCGACCATGCTCTGTCGGAAACAACATGCCAAGATTGGTTTAGACGCTTCAAAAATAATGATTTTGATGTTGAAGATAAAGAACGCTCTGGCGCACCGAAAAAGTTTGAAGACGAAGAATTAGAGGCATTACTTCATGAAGACTCATGTCAGACGCTAGCTGAACTTGCAGAATCATTAGGAGTTGATCACACAACAGTTTCGAAACGTTTGAAAATATTAGGAATGATTCAAAAGCAAGGATATTGGGGGCCGTACGAGTTGAAGCCGAGAGACGTCGAACGGCGTCTTTTCATGTGTGAACAGCTGCTTCAACGGTAGAAAAGGAAAGGTTTTTTGCATCGTATCGTGACTGGCGATGAAAAGTGGATACTACGATAACCCTAAGCGTAGAAGATCGTGGGGTAAGCTTGGCCATGCATCAACATCGTCGGCAAAGTCGAATATTCATGGTTCGAAGCTTCTGCTCTGCATTTGTTGGGATCAGTTGGGTGTAGTTTATTATGAGCTGCTCAAACCAAACGAAACCATCACGGGAGATCGCTATCAACTACAATTGATGCGTTTGAGCCGAGCATTGAAGGAAAAACGGCTGTTATACGAGCAGAGACACGACAAAGTGATTTTGCAACATGACAACGCTCGGCCACATGTTGCACAACCGGTGGAAACCTACTTAGAAACGCTTAAATGGGAAGTCCTACCCCACCCGCCGTATTCACCAGACATTGCCTCTTCCGATTATCACTTGTTCCGGTCGATGGCACATGGCCTGGCTAAGCAGCACTTCCATTCTTATGAAGATGCCAAAAAATGGGTTGACTCTTGGATAGCCTTGTCGTTTGTCGACGTGGAATTGAAATGCTGCCAGAAAGATAGAAAAAAGTAGTGGCTAGCGATAGACAATACTTTCAGTGACATGTTTTTTACGACTTTTTTTAAATAAAGCATTAATTTTCACGAAAAATCAGCGAGAACTTATTCAAGGTCCTAATATATAATTGAATATTAAATAATTAAAATATAATTAAAAATGAGTGAAAAGTGTGTGTGTGTGTGTGTGTGTGTGTGTGTGT